GTTAAAGATGTCAAAGGAGTCTTATAACAACAACTTAACTGGTACATGTAGGCTTTACTTTCTCCGAAAACGATCTAAGAGGGGGGGGGGGGTAACATCTGTCTTCAAATAGCAAACGGGTTCCTTGATAAAATAAGACACTTCTTTGACATCTTGCTTTTAACGATATTGCTACCCTTTATCATTCATTTTATAAGGGCAACAATTTTCACAAATAAAAGTTTCAATAAAATAAAATCTTGAAGCGAGGGTTCGTGTCAAAACCGGAAGTGCTATTGATAAAGCATCTACCCGTTGATAAAGCATAAGTTTATCCAACGGCCTGTATCACCAACACGTATGAGATAAATACATGTATGTCACTTCATGTTTGTATACAATTTTCGCTCTATTACAGCGGCTCCGTGGTCTAGTGGTAATGTCACTCGCTTCGCGTGTGAGAGGGCCCCGGATCGCGTCTCGTACGATCCACTTCTTTTGAAGGTCTTCCGTTTCCTACGGAAGACCTTCTACTGATTCTGTTGGTAAAGATTATTATTCTTTTTTTTCTTCTGCTTCCTAGACCGCAACTTTGAGGCCTCATATCTCGCTCATTTCTCAACGGATTTCGCTCAAATTTTCAGACGTTATAGACGTTAATAAACTCTATCAGAATATTGTCTAAAATTTCAAAAAGCCACTTCCGGTTTTGAGTTATTTTCCTTTAAAGGAAAATTTATAGGCTTTCGTTTCCAGACAAAGGCTCAGAGACGGCTAAAGCTGGAGCAGAAATTCTACTGATTTTAGATAATAGAAGGATTGAAGTTGTGCACATCGGTTTTTGTTTTTCGATTTCTCTATTCAAAATGGCGCTATATAGGGGTCAAAAATTAGAACGCTTAAAAGAACCAAAAATTACTCATATTTTTCTTTTTATCTTCTGAACAAAAAATATTTTGTTAAAGTATATAGAACATAATTTTTGCAGAATTAAAAGATCTTTGAAATGTTATGTCGAAAAAAGGGCTGACCCCTAAATTAAGGGACCTAGAGGGGCCAAAAGTTTTTTCCAGATATCTCAAAAAGCATTGAGAATTTGTTAAACATCAAAGAAGCAAAGTTGTTCAAAATATCAAGCTTTATCTAATGGGGTCGTCAAAATACGTCCGGCGACGTCACTTCCGGTCGAACCGGAAGAAGTCAGAAAATGCATATTTTTGCCGTTTTTGACAGGTTTTTGGGTAACATGTGTGACTAGAAGCTTAAATATTAATTTTCCGTCCGTCGTCGTCACTTCCGGTCAAACCGGAAGTACCAAAGAATTGCTTAATTTTGCAATACTTAACATAGATTTGGAGGATTAACCCATTTTTGGACTTCATTACTGTTTTTTTTTTTATGAAAGTTACTTCCGGTCAAACAGGACGGAAGACCTACTCGTTGCTTTGCAACGAGCTCGGCTCTAGTTTTCGAAATACTTTTCTTTTTTTTACTAAACGATAGTATTCAGCTTGTGAAATCAAAAATTTATGAGGTCTGGCTTGTACAAACTCATAATATCATCATTACAGTGTGATAAATATTCCATTTAAAAAAGAATCTTCTACACACATAATAAAGAATAATCCATCAAACCTTTATATCCATATTGGCATATTTTATTTGCTTCAGTATACATTTAATAATTCTACAAATTCAGTGAAGGGGATCCGAACCCCCGACCCCCCCCCCGACTTCGAACTTTGCATGGTTTACTTTTCCCTAAGCGGGAGACACAAATTCTTTGAATTAGCTTGTTTATGCTTTTATGCTAGCCATAGTGCTCAGGTGAGCGATGTGGCCCATGGGCCTCTTGTTGATACCTCCTCGTTCATACAAAACAAATCTTAAACATTTGTTGTAAAGAATTGAGGCGTACAAGGCGATGTCAATCCCCGCTCTGAGAAAAAACATTTCTCAATTCTTAAAGTTCATGAAAGCTATATATTTCAAACTTTTAAGGTTTATATTATCTTTTACACATTTAATTCTGTATTTCAAATGTTTTAATATTTTATTTAAAATTTATTTTTTAACGTTTTTAAGATATGTGCAAAAAAAAGCGTCAGGTATGATTCGAACTCTCTCCATAGCGCAGGATTTGGGAGAAGACCGACCGCCTTTACCACTACACTACGAAGTATATGCGTTATCATTGTCTGTCAGTGTGATTTAAATGAACGGGTTTGTTTAAGCGTACATTTTTTCAGAAATGTTCGATTTTTATATAGAATGGGTTCAGATTCCATTTTTTAGACAAATGAAATGCATTTCACATTTACGTTTCCATCATTTAAGCGTTAACGAAGAATGGAGACTTGACGATGACATTATTGAGAACATGATTTTAGAAAAATATTAAGTTTTCCGTGAATTTTGAAAATTGAGAAACATATCATCTCAGAGCGGGGGATTTTACACGCCTTGTACACCCTCTTTCTTTTTATCTACTGATCATGAATAGAACTATGTTTTTTATGCCCCGCTCCGAAAGAGATTCAAGTTTGTTCAAATCATGACCCCCAAGGGTAGGGTGGGGCCACAATCGGGTATCAAAGTTTGACATAGGAATTCATAGGTAAATCTTTAAAACATCTCAAGAACAGCAAAGCTGTGATTGTTCATATTTACATGAAAGCATCTGCGGGTAGTGTAGATTCAAATTTGTTCAAATCATGACCAACCAGGAGAATAGAGGAGCCATAAATGTTTATCATAGTTACACAAAGGAATATAAAGGCTATATCAATAAAAATTTTCATCTAATAAACAGCCATTATGTATCATATTTAATTAAAAGTATCTGCAGGAAGTATAGATTAAAGTTTGTTCAAATACCCACCTCCCCCTCCTCCTCCCTTGAACCCACTTTTTAGCTCACCTGAGCCGAAGGCTCAAGTGAGCTTTTCTGATCAAAATTTGTCTGTTGTCTGTCATTGTTGTTGTTGTCGTCGTCGGCGTCGTTGCCATTGAAAACTTTTCACAATTTCTTCTTCTTCTCAAGAACCACTGGGCCAATTTTAACCAAACTTGCCACAAAGTATCCTTGGGTAAAAGGAATTCAAGAATGTTCATTTGAAGAGGTCACATCGTCTTCAAAGGGGAGATAATTATAAATAAGTAAAAAATTAATGGCATTTTGTAAACCTCTTCTTCACAAGAACTACTGGGCCAGAAAGGTGAAACTCAAGTGGAAGCATCCTCAGGTAGTGTAGATTCAAATTTTCTTAAGTCATGACACCCGGGTGTAGGGGTGAGTCACAATGTGGGATCAAAGTTTAACATAGGAATACAAAGGAAAAATCTTTAAAATTCTTCCTCTCAAGAACCACAGGTAGTGTAGATTCAAGTTTGTTCAAATCATGACCCCTGGGGTAGAAGGGGGCCAAAATTGGTGATCAAGGTTTTATGTAGGAATATATAAGAAAAATTGTTAAAATTCTTCACAAGAACCGTAAAGCTAAGATTGATTATCAATATAAAAGCATCATAAAGGTAATGTAGATTTAAATTTGTTCAAATCATGACCAATCAGGAGAATAGAGAAGCCATTAAAGCAAAAGGCGAGACAGTTTTGCGGGGTCGGGAATTAAATATGAACTTTTCAGAGAGAAGGAAGCAATAAATCACAGCCCGTCTTTGCAACAATTAACGCAAAAATAAATAACCAAAATATAACACTGCAATCACTGATTTGATGATGAATGTGTTCAATAATATACCGGTATCTTCAGTCCTACGATATTACTTAATATGTCTTCTCTTGCACTTGGATTACGTAACTAAAAGCTAAGGACCCAAACACTATGATAAATGTACCTAAATAATCCATTATTATGTAGAACTATTTTGTCTCCTTTTCACTGCCAAATTTGCCCCTGCAATATTGCATGGAGCCCCATATTATTCAGTGCAAGCTTTCGGGTATTTCCGTCAAAGATCGGAAAAGCTGCAATTTTTGACTCATAGGTAGCGCCTTATGGAGGTTTCCGGTTGCTCTTGAAATTGCGTAATCTCGTCGGATGTATACATGCCATTAACACGCTAACCGCTTAAAAATGACATGCTCTGTAAATACCAACAAAACACTTCTACTTAGTTATGATAGTATTTTTAAATCACTAAATGATTTTTAAGAATACATTTTTGTAAGTTAATGTTAAAAATTCTTTGCTTATAAAAATGTAGGTAATTCCACCCTCCTATGATGTCATAGGTTTTTGCAAAAACTGTAATTTGTTTAAATTCATTCCAAATAGAACAATATCTTTTGGAAGAATGCTTTACAATAGGTGTAATGATAAATATTGTTAAGTAAAAGAATTTTAAAAATGCATATTTTCTTTATTTAATCAATTATTCAATCTTTAAAAAATGTTTACAAGGGCAATAACTCCTTCCAAGGTCTCTTCATTCAGGCATTTGCTTTATTGTACTTCTAATGTAAAATAGTTTCCCTGATATTCACAATTCAAAAGTATCTTTTAAGTAGGAAGTATTTAGGAACATTCAGCATCAGAATTATGCATTTTAACCAGTTTTTACATATTTTTCATAATACTGTTTACAAAAAATGTGCGATTTTTTAATGTTGACATACACTTCTGTTTATTTATGTTTCGCATCTTAAATAATATGGTGACCTATACATTTTTTGCAATAATTGGAAAACTTTAAGTATAATAAATGAAAATAAATATAGTTTTTGTACTTTGAACCATTAATATTGTGAGGGTGGAAACACCTTAAGTAGATAGAGTGTCACGAAAGCCTCGAGCCATTCCTCTCGTTCGTCAACAGTTAGCAGAAAACTACAAGCTAGAAAATAAAATTCAAGCTTCAAGTTAAATAGCAAAAAAAAAAAAAAAAAAGAATTTTCAGTTGTAAAGACTTACAGTCTGAGTGTCTACAACAATTTATTTAGATATGCAAGGAACACTTTTTTTCAAATTTATTACTATGGCTGAATCATTTCTTTGTAGAGAGAAAAAAGAGAGATTGACGTTATGACTGGGGTCACAACTGGTGAATTAAAGGAATTTCAGTTGGACAATAAGATAAACCTCAAAACAAATGTTATACTCGATGTGGTTCATCTGGTCAGCGTCGTTGTTACGGGATGCCACGTAAGTGTTCTTTATGTTCACCAAACGAAGTGGGGAACATATTGTTTTTACTTTCTTTATTCTTTTTATTAGGGTCTTCCGACTTCCTTCGCATGTTTTTTGTTCTACGGGCTGTTTCTCGAAGATGGCTGGGACAATCTCCCTAAACCTTTTCTCAAAGGACGATCACTGGTTGTAGTTGTGTTGTGTGGTAATTCAGTTTCAAAATGGCTACCGATGTCATGGAAACCTGCAAAAAGCGACGAATTTTGTCCGAGAGTGTTCTCTCTGGTCCCTTTGACATTCGTCATGAAACTTTTTTGATTTAATGATTAGTATCTGTAATTGAGCGTGTTGCATTTAAAAATTGCAAATTATCAATTGTTGCCATGGAATCAGGGGTTAAGTGAAAATTCTTTAACGTTGATTTTTTTAAATCAAAGTACCTAAAGGACTGATACGAGTTGATGGTTGTCCAAGCTTAGCTAACAAATAACTTTAAAAAAAACAAACATAAAAGTTACATGTTTTTTTATTCAACATTTATACTTCTGGTCACATCTCTTGTTCTCCCTTGAATCAGAAATGATGATATAGATATTTTAAAAATATTTTATCATAAGAGTTGAAGAGGTTGTGCATCTTAAAGTTCTGTGGTTGAATTAGCTATACCAGTTAAGCTTTTTTTTGCTACTCAAAGCACCTTGATTAACTATTTTCAAACATAAGTACTGTTTTCTGAAATGTGCAGTTTTTTCAACAATGGATACGTATCATATATTTTTCAAATACTGTAACCCTTTGAATCATACGTTTTAGCTCATTTGAGCTTTTCTAGTTTCCTGATCACAGTTGTGTGGAATCCATCTGTTTGTCTGCAAACTTTTTACATTTTTTACTTTTTCTTTAGAACCACTCGGCCAATTTCAACAAATTTACAATAAGAAATATGCAGGGACTTTTTCCATCATAAATCCTCTTCCTTAGAACAACAAAGACATTTATTGTCCCCCATTTGTGCGAAAGGTAGGGGACATTAAATCTCATTTGTATGTCAGTCTGTCCGTCTGTCACAATTAATTTAGCCTTGGTCACCAGGGTTATATTTTTTGAATGAGAAGAGAGGACCTTCATATCAAACATGTATATTAGTATTTGCCTGTGACAATACCATTCTAAATATACCATGTTTTGTTTTACCCGTGACCTTGACATTAAGTTTGACCTACTTTCAAAAATATTTAATTGTTTTGAATTGAACATTTTAAAAGAGAAAATATAGGGCATTCATATTATATATGCATGTATATTATACTATGATAAGACATTTCCAAATGTATTATGACTTTTGATTCTGTGTCCTTGACCTTGAAGTTTAACCTACTTTTCAGAAATGTATTTCTTTATAACTTTTGTTCTTGAGAAAAGATACATGTATGACTTTCACATTTGACAAATACGTTACTCGTAACAACCATGCCATGCTTTTTTCCCCTTAAACATGATTTTTTAGCTAATTTTCAAAAAAAATTAATTCTCCCAAACATGACTAGGCTACTGTTTAAAATGTAGGAGGAGTTCAGGAAAGAAGGGGCTTTTTTTGCATAAAAAGTCATTTTTCGACCCCCATCTAACTCCCCGGAGCAAAATGAAAATTCGAAAACCTTACTGCACATCTACATGACACCACTTACCAACTCCCAAAAATTGATAAGGCTACCGTGTAAAATGTAGGAGGAGTTCAGGGAAGAAGGGGCTTTTTGCATAAAAACGTCTTTTTTCGAACCCCATTTGACCCCCATTGGCAACATGATAATTCCGAAGCTTTACTGCATATCTACATAACACCACCAACCACCTTCCAAAATATGATTAAGCAGTGACAGACGGACGGACGGAGATGAGTAATAATAATAGAACTGAAAGTGCGGGTATAAATATAGACATTCCTTTTAACATGCTTAATATATACAGGTGACTCTCGATGGCTCGAACTTCTATCTCTCGAAGTTCTCTATCTCTCGAACCAAATCATAGGTCCCGTTACACATATTTCATTGAATTTTACTCTCTATCTCTCGAAGTTTTGACTGCGTGTGTATACAAGCCAATCAAGCGTAAAATTGATGCAGCCTGAACTTACCTGGAAAACAGTGAACGCCTGGGGCTTGGCAGGTGTTAATTGGGTGTTTACATAGATGACACTTCACCTGTGGGTAGTCCGTGTTTTGATATAATTAATTGATTATTATTGGTAAATTATAAACTGTTTTTTTTTAATTACAACTTATTTTGCCTTGAAAACGAGACGATAATTTTTAGAAAATAATTTATAGTCAAATCGATAAGTTCCCATAGGCTATGATTTTTTAATAGAGTTGACATAATCCCAGTATGGCAAATATTTCACTAGAAATTCCTTTCTTAAGTACTAAATACCGATTAAGAAAAATCCTGTGAACATTGGTAAACAAGTGAAGGACCCGATCAAGCCGCGGAATAGTCAAACCGACAATTGCTATTCGGATTTCATGTAATCATTAAAAACAAAAAACAAATAAGTATTGAAACTTTAGGAATTCATTTTATTTAGTCGAAGTACGATCATTGTTGTTGATATCAAGTAAATATTACCTGTAAAATACGATAGAAAACGTGCAATGACTTTATTTACATATACTTCCGGGATCTATAAAAGTAGAACGTCGATGATCGGAACTGAAAATTCCGGATTTTATTTACTTTCTATCTCTCGAACCCTTCGATCTCTCGAACTTTTCTTGCGGTCCCTTGAACTTCGAGAGATCGAGAGTCACCTGTAATTTGTTTGAAAATTGATATTGACAGACTCGAGATATTAATCTGTTTTCAACACTGGAATAAAATAATGAAATATTTACCTTCTTAAGATTAGAAATTCAATGTTATCATTGAATTTCAACCCACCTTGACTATTCTCTTAGGCAAAAGTGTGAAGGATTCATCAATAGGACAAACATATTATTTAAGTTTCAGTATAATGTAAAATCATATAAATAAGACTTTTCATTCCAATTTCTAAAAGGAAATTAATGACCTTCCAAAGGGTAATTTAACTATTAAGGACAGGGGAGCTGGCGATTATTTTTATATTGGAAATGAATAAACAGTCTATGATAATAAAAATAAATGTACTCTGTGCTCCACCGGGAGAACTTGTAAAAAAAATTAGACATCTTTTGTGCACGCAATATCTTGAGAAGTATTCAGTGGGTTTTTCAAACTTTCGGTGATAATGCACTATAAGATGCCATTGTAACATTTGAAAGAATTTATGAAAAAGTTTACTTCCGGTTCCATGTTACGGACATTGTTCTGATTTTTAAATAAATTTTGTAGTGCAAGATCTAAAGATTGGCTAAAGACCTGAACTGGAGACTTGTTGGTGTTTAACATGACCTACAGGTTAACAGAATAACCCATTCGAGTTTTTCACCGGTCGCTACCGGAAGAGAACTCAAATTTTTCAACTTTTTAAATTTTTTTTTTAATATTAGTAGGGTTAATAAAGACTTTTTTTTTCAAAATGCTTTATATAAAATTTGTTTTGAAATCCAAACTACAGATGTGTCATTTTTGACACAGCGTAATGGTTAAATGTTTTAGATTTTCACGCAGGCCACCCGGCATCAATTTCCAGGATTTCCGAATTTTAAAAGTTCGAAAAAATTCGGACATTATGGAAATTGAAGTATAAGCCTTTTTAAAAAAAAAAGGGGGGGGGGGGGGGGGGTTGAAGGAATGCACAAGGTTATACATGTGTGGTAAGTGAGGAATTGACTTTTCTGATGACGGAGATTTTCTTGTTGTTACGACAACAAGGTTTCTAGTTATCATTAATATTATTATAACACTTTACATTTTCCCCCATACAAAATGTATTGTAACAGAATAAATTTCTTAAGTTTTCCCTTAACTTTGAGTGTATTTTTGATTGAAAAGATAGTTTCCTATTCATTGCTTATTTTTCTCTTCAGTTATTAACAAAACTCTAAAATAATTTCTTCTCATTTTAGGGAGTTGGGAACGATACACGTTGTATAAGCGATTACGTGGTCAAGTTGAGAGCATTTGATTCAAACGGTGTTCTGAGGACGTATGATCTGAATAATGAACCAAAAGAGAAGTCCCGAGCACTGTCAGCAAGCTTTGGTTGTTTTGGAATTGTTTATGACGTGACACTTAAAGTAAGTAAAATTCATATTAGTCTGACAACAACTTACATCATTCCATGACTTGAGTAATGATGTCTTCAAGAATCTAAATAAATGTTTTAAAAATCAGCGTTGTTGCTTTTGTAAAAGGTTGTTCTGATCTATTCCCAAATGCTTTTTACATACTCCTCGTGCAGTTAACCTTAAATTCAACATTTAGATAGCAGGGTATATCGACGACGCATTATATCTGTTATAATAGTTACTTCGACTCATATGTCGACTCGATATATCCCACTGAACTTAAAATAAAAGATTCCACAGAGTCTGACACACATATTTCAGATTTCGATATTTTTATTTTAGAAGAAGAAGTTAATGGCAAATTTACAACAGAACTTTGTGAAAAACTTGATGATTTTAACTTTTCAATTGTAGACCTTTTTTTACATATATTAAGCAATATACACTTATCACCCACGGATGATTTAATACACAGGAGCTAAAACAAGGCCAGTCATTGGTAGAAAAGTTAAAAATATCAAAAGCCTCTTCTAAAGGCTTTCTTTTGTAAGTTATATGGTCGACACAATGACATTGTCAGCAAATACCATCTGCCATTACGTCGAATTCTAACTGAAGTTTAAATACCAATTTGCACTGAATTTTCAACGGATTTTTTTCTTTATTTCTCCATCATAATAAAGAATGTACTTTTAGGTATTTATTTTTTTAAGAGATTGTGTTAAGACAATATGTTCCAGTATAAACATTTCAAATTATTTTTGAATAGAACAAAAAAAAATTCCAGTCCTATTAATTCACTGATTGTGCTTTAAAGGAATTTTAGCCCTAGCAGAAAAATATAGGAACTTTATGTCAAATACGACAAAAATAGTATCCTTTCGTGCGATTGTTGAATGAGTTAAATTAAATACATTATCTTATTAAGCAAATATTCCAAAAAATCTAAATTAGCATACAAAATGTTCAAGCATTCAATTTATTGAATCTTTTAGTTATCCGAAACATATTTGAAAATACAAATGACAGAATATCAAGGCATTTCGACTTCCAAAAAGATTGAAGAACTGAAGAGTTGAATTAAAGATTCCGCATAAAAAGCTGCAAATATATCATGAACCTTCATGCCTTATTGCTAAGTTGTGGCGCATATGATTTAGAAGTTGTTTTGTCTTGAAGGTTTGCCTCGCTCTAACGGTTGAATATTAACATCATTCAGGATAAATCTGTTTATAATGAAAAATAATAAATCGCTTCTGAGAATATTCATAGTATTTTATTAGTTCTCTATAAATGTGAAGTAAAAACGGTGCTATCGCCTGTTTAAGTTTCTGGGGCGGTCCTTCGGATGAGACCGTATAAACCGAGGCCCCGTGTCACAGCAGTTGTGGCTCGATAAAGATCTCTTCCTGCTCAAAGGCCGTAAGTGCCGAGCATAGGCCTAAATTTGCAGCCTTTCACTGGCAAAGGTGACGTCTCCATATCAGTGAAATATTCTGGAGAGGGACGTTTAACAGTATACAATCAATCAATCATCATAACATAAAAAGAATTTTGGGTTAAAAGGGTAAGTGCGGTTTAATGGTAGTTATAATATTCAAAACAATTTTCACACCGAATTCGAAGAAAAATCTAATGAACTTCTGTTAAATGAAAAATATCTATATGTTTCAATTATTCGTAGGTCACACGAGTTAACTAAGGTGACCTATTGCTGTTTTCGTCCGTCGTCGTACGTCGTGTGTTAACATTTGACCATTTTCAGTTTCTTCTCTGCAGCGGCTCAACCTATTTCAACCAATTATGGCACAAAGCATCTATGGGTTAAGGAGGACAAAATTTGTGAATTTCATGGTCCCTGTCCACCTTGGGCCTTGAGGGTGGTTGGGCCAAAACCACTTAATTAATGCATTCTTTAAAAATCTTCTTCTTTACTCATAGACATCAAGCAGTCAAACTGTTGGCATGATTGTAATCACCATTAATTAAGTCCTCTACCAAATTTGTGAAATGTGAAATTCATGGCCACAGGGTCAGGGTTTCTAGTGGTAGGACGGGGCCAAATAGACAATATTGTGAAAATGCATTTTTTCTTTGAAAATATTCTTCTTTGCTCCTGAGCATTAAATAACTAGCCACGTACATAGTTATGTCAAATAAGGCTGCCTTTTCCAAAATTGTGAATTTCATGGGTTGGGGGGTTCTAGTGTAAGGGCATGGCTCTATTGATTATACAGTGAAAATGCATTATTTCTTTGTAAATCTTCTACTATGTTCCTGAGTATTAAATAAACTAATCAAGTACAAAGTTATGATGAGCATAAAAGTCTCTTCCCAAAAGTTGAATTTTATGGCCCCTGGGTCAGAGGTTATCTTTTGTTTTGTGTTACAATTATCATAAAAGAAACACCCGATTTATACTCATAATGTAACTTCAAACACAAATTCACACTCATGATCTAACAGTGACATAAACATACATACGAGGGCTGTTCAATAAATAATGTCCTGAACTCTATGGCATACAACACAGATATCATAATTATGACATGAATGTTGCCTTTCTCTCATGATTGAATCTTAAATGAATTTATATCAGATTATGTGACTACTTTCTAATATTTTCAATGTGAGAAGCTGGAAAACAAGGGCTATACTAACCAATGCAGTAAAAATGAATGATAAAGAATCAGTAAACTAGAGTGAACTTAAAAGATTCATTTAACTGCTGTTAAACTTGTTAAGAATGTTAATGAAATATTTACTGAAATTTGTGAAAGAGCAATATATGATTAGTGTCTTAATGAATATCTTAATTTTGCTTTATATATAGCTTTAATTTGTACAGCTATACATGCGACCTTTATTGGTCACTTTCAATTTGATCAAAATGCTGTTATTTTAGGAATATGACATCATAAAGTTCACGTTTTCCCGCCATTTTAGCATATTTTGTATAAAACTGCTTATTTTCAAGCAGTTTTTCTTCCAGGAAATATAGAGCGCAGCCTAGAACACGCTTTATATTTTTACCAAAGATGTATCTATCCAATACTTATTAGTGACAGAAAAAATATGTATGTTCTACACTGTGCTCTATGTTTCCCAAAAGAAAAAAAACATCAAGAAAAAGCATATTTTTAGCTTTTTTAGATAGCAAAAATAGCATTGCTTCTCATGTCATTTATAGCCAGTGAGTGCATATTAATTTGAAAAATATAATGGAAATATTTCTAATATAACCTATTCTACAAAATAAATATTAATTAAACATAACTGAATATCATTCTAAAATGTTGATTTTTAGGGGGCCAAAATTGGCTCTTATCATATAAAGTTCTTTATAGCAACCAATGCCTGTTTTATAAACACATGAGCAAGTGTATTTTGGTAAACAATAATGATATAGTGGGCATCAAAACTTGGTAACGACCTTGGCGACAAGGACTTAAAAAAACCAGTGTTCTGTTTTCCAAAATTCAACAAATTATCAATTTGTATTTTTATTTTTATTAATAGTTCATCTTCGCTAGCAAAGGGTTTCTGATACGCTACTCATAAACCCTTGGCCTACAGTGAAGTCGAAAGACGGGAATGTTTTCGTCATGTGATCTTGAATCTATCAGGTACGCACAGATTAGGTCATCGACAGAAATAAAGACGCAGGTTAAAAAGAAAAAAATAAAGAATGTCACTCGTGAAATTTGTTAAATCAAGGATTTTTTGAGAAGTATATTTTGGATAAGTAATCATATAACGTGACACAAAAATCACAGAGAAAATAGGGGGTCAGTGTGCATCTTACTGATCTACGGTACAATTAAGTTGACCTTTTTGCACTTGAACTTTCACTCTTTGGTAAATTACTCTAATCTGTATCATATTTTATCAGATGCAACTATGGCAATAAATATTATTTTATTTTACGTAAAATAGTGTGAATAATATTTATCACTCAACAAATCTTGCAAATTATTGTCTGACCTTGTTGCACTAAAAAGTAACATTTTTGAGATATTAAAAAAAAATAAATAGGCAATGAAACATTTTCTTGAATCAAGCTTTTTACGACTTAAGTGCTGATCAGTCACAAGTATCTAGTACTTTAAAATAATGAAAGAAAAAGTGGGTGTCAGTGATGTTAATTTTGAAATAATTGACATATATTTCAAAATAGGTGATTTTCAGGCAAAAAATGGTATATATTTTATCTAGACTTATCTGACAAATCTTTATTTTTTGGCAAAGTTTGTTGAAGGAAGGTGTAAAACTTGTTCTAAAAATATAAATTAAGACCTATACTAATTATTCATAGCAATACCATAACGGAAAATATTCTCCGAGTAACTGTATGTTGGCTAAAGTTCTTAGATATTAAATTTAATAAATATGCAGATTTGCAGAATTATCTGCTAAAAATCCTTCCACCATAAGAAATAGTCCCTCATAAATCTTGCTTCTTTGTAGCATTTTGAGCAGTTTTTTCGTTGAATGTTAAAACATTAACATTTTTAAATTTAAATATGTTATAAAAATTGAATTTAAATAAATAGTTTTGAAGCAAGAAGATCTGCGTGAATTTTTCTAAAAAGCTGACGAGTGACATACCTGAAAGTTTTGTTCAAGAATATTTTAGAAGAAATAATTTTGTAATGTTTATTTATTATTTATAGTACAAATCGGAAGCTTCAATATAAATTCTTAATCACATATTTAGAAGATATTGGATGACACGATAGATATTTATAGAATTACATGTTAGTTTACGGATCGTTGTTTACATGCGTTTTTCAATTCTGAGATTAAAGAGTCAAGAAGTATCCCGAATGCAAATATCGTCATTTACAAAAAACAATTGATGATTGGTCGACAGGTGTGTACTGAAATCCAATCAGAACTCTGGAAAAAATATCCCGATTTTTATGAACACCGTAGGCCAAGGGTTTATAAGGAGAGTAGCGTATCAGAAACCCCTGGCTAGCGAAGGTGTTAATAGTTATATATTGCTG